CTAGCCGTACGGGCCCGTACGGCTAGCCAAAAGTTCTAGCCGTACGTGAGTCACGTACGACTAGCCTGGACACACTGTATTGGCTAGCCGTACGGCACTTTTCAAAATTATATGGAGGTCGTATGCATAAGTTATTTTGTGTCTTTAAACGACGATTTTAATCAAATCTCCGCATTTGTCCTAGTGTGTTCACTTTAATAAAGATGCTCCGCAATTTTGCAAAAAAAGTGAATACGAGTAAGCGTTGTATAATCTTTCTTAATAAAATTAAGTGTCAAAGTTGCATGTTATAACGTCCTTAATTTTCATGCTTATGATTTGTATGAAAGATGAATTGTTAAATCTGTTAATTAAGCACACGGATCGAATAAATAATGATCGGAGGGGAATTAATAAATAAATAAAAAGAATATTAAAAAAAACGGTGAAAAGGAAAAATAATTTAATAATGCAAACTTTCCTTAATGATGGACGATGAACAAACTTCTATACCGTCGGTATTTGACGCAATTATCAGAGACCGACAACAATTATTTTTGGTGTTTTTTTTTTTTTTTTTTTTTTTTTTTTTTTTTTTTTTTGTTTTTTTTTTTTTCAATTTAAAAATTAAACTTATAATGAAACAAAAAATGATTAGATTATCAAAATTTTGTAAACTATTTCAATTGATGTTATTTAACTGCAACCAAACGCTTAAATTTTTTCTCGACGTCTTGTGATGACAAAGTACGTACATTCTTTACTGTAGCCAACACGTCGATTAATCTCTAAAAAGTAAACATTCTTGACTAAAATCCTCGCTTAAAGTCATAATTAACATATGCACTTTCGCCTTCCATATATTTTTGAAAAGTGCCGTACGGCTAGCCAATACAGTGTGTCCTGGCTAGTCGTACGTGACTCACGTACGGCTAGAACTTTTGGCTAGCCATACGGCTAGCCACTTCCTTTTATTAAATGGCTCAAATCGTGACACATAATTAATTTGGCTTGAGATAACACGAAAAAGGTTTGTTTTATATTTCGTATCAAACATCTTTTGTAAAGTCTGTCATCCTTAAGTCGTAAGAAATACCAGAGAAATAGCAATGGGTATTTTTCATTATAATCTTCTAAATATTACCCCACCCACAAATTTTGCATTGTAGAAAATGTAAACATTAGCGATAACTTCGCCGTTTAAGTTTGATTCAAAACAATTTGATCGTCAATCACATTGACCAGTTATAACAAAGCACTACCTTGCTTGCCGCTCTGTTTTTATCTTCAATTACTTCAAGGAGCGAGGTTCTATGAGCTTCAATCAGTGAGTCTTCTCTTTCCATACCGGAGACCGCCATTTTGTAAACCCTTTGTTGCTATAGATACATTTTAATTAATATTTTAATTTAAAGAGATTTATTCAATTTTAATACCTTTTTATTTCTTTTATAAATAATTATTTAACTTTAAAATCAATTTATTAAAAAGATCTTTTTAAATAAAATAAAAATAATAAAAATCATTGTCATGAGACGCTCTGGAAAAGCGTCTGGTTGATGTTATGATAGTCAAATGTGATCATATTTGACATAATTATCATTTATGTCAAAGAAAATTGACATTTTTATGGTTTTATCCTAACTTTTCAAAGAAATAGGTAAAGTCAAGTTTATTTAATTCAATTAGTTTTATAATATCACTCGGAGTTTATTTTATTTGGTGGTTATTTTGAGAAGGACTAGGCAAAGTATTACAGAAACACTTTTTCAGGTCTAGGATTTCATGATATTTATGGACTGTCCGTAAATTTATAGACAGTCTAGAAATTTTAAGATTTTTCAATCCATAAATTTACAGATATTCAATGTGAAATTTGCTGTTTTTAGTTTTACAGTACAATAAAATCCGCAGCTTTAGACAAGTTGTTTTATTGATTGTTTAAATTTACAAAGGTAATGGGGTGAGTTTCATCTTTGTATGATGATTTTGAAATTTTTGTAAAAAATGAAAATTGAAAGTCATCAAACTGTTCTGAATCTTAACATATAGTCCAACTAATTGTACTGCGCGACGAGATATTGTGCTATTTTCGTGTCTGGGCAATATCTCGCCTCTAAAGCGAGATTCTGCCCCAGAACGAAAATATCTCAGAATCAAGCTTGAGCACGTCAATATATTTTGACTACTTAACATACTGATACATTTAATTGTACAATACCTTACCTAATTCATTTTAACCTGCGGTTTTAAATTTTAATGCAACTTCTACTATTTTCTTACTTAATGTCTGTAAATTTACAGATAAGAAAACCTGTAAAATTATTGATCGTCCAAAAATTTACAGACTGTCCGTAAATATCATGAAATCCTAGACCTGTTTTTCATCACACAGTAGACTAGTAGATCTAGGTGACACAATATAATGTACATTTGCACTTCTGCAGATTCATCTTTCATGACAAAACTCGCTTCATCAATATGATTCATTAATTTCACAATTATGGCATATTTCAATGTTGTTGGTGCTGCATTGATAAATTAATTAATTTAATTTAATTGGTCAAAATTGACCTGTTTCAGTCATACTCATAATGACATACGTATGGTGGCTGACCTGTGGCATTCGTGATTTCGCCCCGCTACCCCACCAAGCGAAAAGTTGAGAATTAATAAGTTAAAATGACGCGGGGACGAAAACATGCTACTTAGCGGAGACAGGAGGGGAAGTTTAATAAATAAATCTTTGTCTCGCAGGGTCGAGGAGCAAGATTTAAGAAATAAAATGGCAGGGGCACTAATTAGCATGTATTTGCTCTGCTCCCCCACCATTTTAACTTGTTAATTCTAATTTTTTCGCTTGGCGGGGTCACGGGGCGAATACACGCTAATTTAAGCGGGGGCTAATGGCAAAGTTTTATTTATTAAACTTTGCCCCACATCCAAGCTTATTAGCATGTTTATTTTTATTTATTAAACTACGCCCGTGCCCGCGCTGTTATATATCTTAAATCTTACTCTGCGTTCCCGCGGGGCAAAGTTTTATTTATAATTCTAAATTTCGCCCCGTGTCCCTGCTAATTAGCATGTTTTTGCTCAGCACCCCCGCCATTCTCCCATAAAAATGATTTCAAATAATTTCATTCTGCATTTTGGTAAAAAAGTGATGAGTTAACCAAAAAGGGGACAAATGGACTGGTTTAGGATGATTTGAACAAATATAGGGGACAAGTTGAACTGTTGACCAAAACAATGTCAAATGGGAAAAATTGACCTCAGGACAAGTTGGTCTGACAACTAAACAGTAAAGTTTTTAACCAAAATATTTAGAATCATTCTGTAAAATAGTGTTTATGTGAAACAAAGTTGCTAAATCAGTGATCGGGGCCAAATTGTAATAAATGTGATCATATGAGAGAAAAAACTACAAAAAACACCTTTTGAAAGTTAATTAGTAAAAGTCTTCGTTTAAAACAAAAACAAATAATTCCATCAATTTTTTTTATATTAAATGTTCAATTAATAACCTAAATTTGCCAAATATGCAGCAGACATGCAGTTGCATACATGTACATGTGAAATCCCAGCGGGATTTAAAAAAGTCCTGATATTTTGACCCTGATCCCGATTCCCTATATTAAACATGAAAATCTTGATGTTCGTCTCACTGTTAAAATCAGTTGTCACATGTATGCAGTTGATGTATAATCTCGACTTAGAATTTCTTTCCTTTTGTTTGATGTGGTAAGATCAAATGATCATGCCGGAACCATTGAACTTTAGATGAAAGAATAATAAACTAGAAGTAAAGCATGTTATCACAGAGTTATATTGAAAATAATTAATTTAAGTCCGTGGTTTTATGCTTTTATTTTGTAAGATATTCTTTCATTTATCATGTTATTCCAAACATAGATCTTCCTTAATTGTTCATACAACACCTCTAGAATAACATGTTACTCATTTTTTCATCCCATCTCATCCCTATAATCCCATCCATCTTCCATCCAATCGTACATTGACCAACCCTAAATTACACCCACTTGTTAATCCGCTTTGAAGAAAAGAAATAGGGGTCATCTTACTAAACATAACAAAAGAGAACAATATTACAATTAAGTTTATTACAAAGCAAAAGAATAAGGGGCCAATTGCACTCTTTTAAACAAAAGAAAGTAATAATAGAAATGGTTGCATACATTGTACTGCTTCAATCAAAGTTTGTGCTGTTATTAATTAGTGAAACATGTATCTGAATTGCATTAGAATATTTGTGTTCAACAGTTACAATAATAAATCTCAGTTTTAAACACGAGTCTTAAGTAATGTATGACATGTATGTAGAAGTCCATGGGGCTATTGTTGTCAACTAAATCGGCTACACTAGCTTCCATTGTTCAATATTTCAATGGCGCAAGCCAACAACCTTCAATAGACTGCATTAATTTTATTCTCTTACATGGGTATTTAATATTAATGCCATAATGCATTTTCTACATTTTCATATAACATGTAGTACATTAATTACCAGTGTATGTTCAAAAGTAGACAAAACATTTTATTTTTCAACACATTATTTTATCCTAAACAGTTCTCCAGTTCTCTTTCTGTTTTGTGAGAAATTTCTGTATATTTTTACAGGTTATTTGAAAATAACTTCGGCTAAGTTTAATTACTAGTGCGAATGTATTACAATAATAATATTAAGTAAAATTTACTCATTAGAAACTTTATATATTTTTGCTTTCCAAAAAAAAAAAAAAAGAAGCTATTTTTTGTTCTTTTGTGATTAAAATGATTACAGAATACCTAGAATGAAAGAAATTTATTAAAAGGTAGTGGACATGCGTGAAATAATTGACTAACCTACTAAAAATAGCCACTATTAATGTCTAAATACATGTATTTTGTTCAAGAACGTTTAATTCTATTTATACACTTAAGTTAATTTAATTGTAAAAAATTAAATTTTAACTTTTATTTAAGAATTAATCATATATTTTATTTTTGTGTGTTTTCAGGAAAAAAGGTTAGTGTACAAAAAAAATGGAAATCACAAACTTGATCAGATTTGTACCAGAAGGATGTGAAAATGATGTTGTCAAACAAAAGAAGCAAGTAAACAAGGAAAGTCTTACTGGGGAGGAAGCCAAGTCGTTCTATGAAGATTTGATCAAAGATGATACTGAATCAGAACAGACTAGAAAAAGGAACAGGAAAGGAAAAAGAAATTCCAAAGAAAAAAGCAAAGATGGAATGAAAATTAACTTAAAGAAGAAACATACAATTACATTGTGTGATACATATAATGCATTAGAACAGAAGAAAGTAACCGAAGAAATTGTTGAGATAAAACAAGAACTTGATGAGCCAAGTTTTGGCTGTGACAGTTTTGATGGTGGTATTGAAAAACTGAAAGAAAAGAGAAAGGTTGATGACTCCTTAGTTAATAAAAGTATTCAAATGCATATGCTTAAGTGTGCTCAAAATGGTGATTTGCCTGGACTTAAGAAGTTGTTCAAGAATGAAAAGGATTTAGATGTTGATTTTCAAGATGGATATGGATGGACTGCACTCATGTGTGCAGCAGTTTCTAGGCATATAGACGTGATAAAGTACCTTATATCTGTGGGTGCAAACAAATATATTTTGAATAATAAAGAAAAAACGGTTTTAGAAATATGTGAAGAAGTTGGTGCAATAGATGCTAAAATTGTAATAAATACTTTTACTGGACGCTCAGATGAAAAACCTGCAGTTAATAAGAATGTAACCTTTTTCTGTGATGTATGTAAAAGTGAGTTCAGTGAATGTACAAAAGAAAAACATGAAACTTCCACTGTTCATCTGTTCAGCTTGAGGTTGAAACCTAAACCAGATCAATTTTCTATACCAGAGAGCAATCGTGGTTTTCAGCTGATGAGAAAGTCTGGCTGGGATGGATGTAAAGGGCTTGGACCTGAAGGTCAAGGTACTAAATATCCAGTGAAAACCACACTTAAAAGAGACAGATTATGTTTAGGTTCTGAAGTTAAAGAAAAAGCAAAAGTTACCCATTTTGGACCTAAAGATTTAGAAGCAGTGAAAACAGTTCATAAACATTCACAGAGAGTTATGTCAGCTAGAACTGTAGCAAAAAGAGAAAGGATTAGAAGAGAGAAAAGAGACAAACAATGGGAGAGAAATTTAAGAACTTACATGAATATTGATAGCCCATATTTGTAATATGCATGCATTATGCATATGGTGAAAACATACACTGTGATACATACAAAAATTTTAAGACCATCCTGCATTGATGTGGCAATAGTCTTGTTTTAATACTTATTCCTACATTTTGTTTTTATTCTGAATATTAGTTAGTAATATTTTAAAAAAGTGCATGGATAAGGTCATTCTCTTGATATCGGCATCAGTTTTATATTCCATCATTCATGAAAAGATAATATGATAATCCTTATTTAGTACTGTACCAGTATATATGAATATACAATGTATATATATATTGTAACACGCTCATGTCTGTGTTTACTGACTAAATTCATAAATCTTCATTTTCCGATTAACTTATTAATTATTAATAATTAAAATGTCCTTAAGTAAGATCTTGTTATCGTCATTTTATTGTTGTTTATCAAACAATAGTAAAAAATCAGTTTGTGTGCTCAACTGACACCTTGGTTTAAAGGGGTCCTACATGTAAATCTAACGATTAAAGACATCCCGCCAGACTTTACCATGGGAAATTGTGTGTTTTTACTATAATGTCGATCAACACACCAACTCCTTTACCAATATCTCCTTGGCACCAGCATTGATTTTGTTTGCCTTGTTATTAAGACCATTACAAACTTGTAAAGTTTGAGCTCTATCGTCGTCCTCTCTTAAATCAACTTGAATGGGATCTTTAGGCCAATTCATTCCGTTTCATATCCAAATAATAAGATTTCAAGGATTTTTTCTTATAGCTATATCTGCCTGCTATAGCTTCTGATTGACAAAATACAGTTGCAACACAGCTGTTGCTCTTGCAATTCCGTAAAAACGGTCGTAAAGACGCGCTAAATGTTAGCAATTCCTTATACCCTTTTTCACTGTAATTAGTTCTTATTGTTTGTGATAAATTGAATATTATAGTCGTGTAGATTCGATTAATACGCATATACCACGAGGGCCGCTTGGGGACATTTCCCCTTGGTTAGGGCTTTGTGCCTGATAGTGTAGTAAAGAAGAACCCCCAAATTGAAACAAGGACTAATCTGCATCTGAATCAGACAAATGGTGTTTTAACGGTTGCTTCCGTATAATGGTCTTTTTTTTTTACAAAATGCATACACTATAAAATATACAGAAAGAAGACAATTGACAATAGCTTGCGGACTTCTCAAGGCCATTTGCCTTGGGTAACAGTTTTGAACCTTATATTGACGGAAAAAGAACATCCATATTAAAATCAAAGGTTAATCCGCAACTGAATCTGAAAAAGTGTGTTTGAACGTTTGGCATCAGCAAATGGTGAGGTTCTTTTGACGAATATTCTTAAACTTGATATACAGAAAGAACAAATCGCCTATCAAAATCAACTAAACCAAGCGTTACTCTTGAGGGTAAGGTCTTTGTGTCTTATTTTGCTGCAAGGGAAAATTTTTGAAAAAAAACAAAACCGGACAAATGGTGTTTTAATTGGTGCATGACTGCAATCTTGTAATAACATGCTTTAACGCGCGCGTTTTTGTCACACACCACCTTATCAAATTTTCATGAAGTTTTAAGACCACTCTTTCGTGCTATTTGAAATAATATACGCTACAGTTTCAGGAGAGTTGTGTCTCTCCGAAAATGGTTACGAAAATTTCAATCGATCTAATAGTATACAGAAATAAAAAATCACCGATCCTTAAAACCACAAGGCAACGAGGGCCTCTAGAGGCCATTTCCTGGGTCAGAACTTACAATTACATACATGTGCCTTACATTTCTGTAAAAAAAGAACCTCCACAATGAAACAAGTGCTAATCCGCAACGGAATCAGACAAATGATTTTTTTAACGGTTGGCTGAAGAAAATGGTGTTTTTTTACGAATACACAACCAATAAAAAACGTTAACAAAAAGAAAAACAACCCAAAACAAACGACAATTCCATGCGGGTCTCTGAAAGGCATTTGCCTTGGGCAAGAGCTTAAATTTTCTCCTAATATTGACGTAAAAAGAATCCACAAGCTGAAACAAGGGCTAATCCACAACTGAATCGTGTTTAAATGGTTGTCCAACCATGCCACGTGGACCTCTTGAGACAGGCTATTCTCCTTGGATTAGAGTTTTGTGCGTTATGTTGCTGTAAAGAAGGCCTTAAAACTAATGCGAGGGCTGATTTGCAACGGAATAAGACAAACTGATGTGTTTTGAACGGTTAGCACGGGACATTTTTGTTAGAGCTTTTTATTTTATATAAATGCTGTATAAACAGTTGGCTTCAAAAAATGTTGCGAAAATGTATACACTTTATATACTTGCTGTAAAGAAGAATCTCCAAAGAAATACGTATATTTGACTGGATCAGTACTTCTTCTTTTTTCTTTAAGTACGTAGCGTTCTTTTTACCATGACTCTCTGTGCATGACGTAAATTCTTGACTTGAATGTTTAACGAGCGCGTCACTTAATCACGTTTTCATGGAGTTGTAAGACCACTCTTTCGTGTCTAATACCATGGCTTCAGATGAACAAATCGTCCATACAAAAAAAACGACAATGTCATGCGGACCTCTAATCTTAAATAAAATTTGTTTTGTAAAAATACTGGGGAAATTCCTTAAAATATAATGACTTTGCTTACAAACAAACTGAATTAAAATAAAGCAGCACGCCTCAAGATTCATGAAAATTTTAGAAATGTATCAAATTGTAAAATATTGTGTGGTGTACCAAGAAAGTAATTACCATATTGCAATCGGCACTTACAATCCAAGAAAATTACCAAAAAATCGTCAGCACATGCAAAAACAGCCCTTACTGCGTTAGTAACGCAGTAGAAATATGGTTATAAAATACCGAAAAATCAGTCTTACACCGCACATAACATGTAAATTTTAATTTGGATCTTGAATATTTTTACATTTCCATTTTTCTAAATATTGATTTACTTGAAATATTTTGGCTCAATTGGAGGCGTTCAGCTTTAAAATGTCAAAACTTCAGCATTGAAGAAGTTAGAAAGATGTTGCACATTGAATAACATTAATCTGTTGAATAAAGCTATACCGTTATAAGGTACATTGTAATAGTTTAATGTTGGTTATGTCACGTATGATTCACTTTACCTAGCGATAGTATCGTTTAAATTGCTCAAAGAATGATACATGCGTTGTATTTTAGTTAATTTAGCCCAATAACATTAATCTCTTGATTAAAGCTAATTTAAACCGCTAACGGATGGTTTTGTTACAATTAAAAGAAAGTTATGTCGGTTATATCACGAGTATGATATACTAGTCCTTATATAATTTGTCTCAAATAGGCAATACCATTACATTGTTTAGAATAACATTTGTTTCTCTGAAATGCGCTTGATGGACAGCTGACAGAAATTAGGAGCGAGGAGCGAGAAATATAACACTTTTATTCATTCTTTTAAAATTTACCTAACATGACACAATGTAAAGAATGTATTTTCTAGAACTTTTATTGTAATCATTGTGGTAAGCACTTGGGTAATTGGATACTTGATAAAACATAAAACAAGAAGTATCTTTAAAAAGATACTCGGCCGAAGTCAAACTTGTTAACTTGCATACTAACCATGCTAACCGTAAACAGAACATTTTATTCGTCCTCAATAGTTTTATTTCAGTTCATTTTACCCGCAATGTTTTTCCCATTAATTGTCATCTTAGATTTAAACAATATTACTTACATTATTTGATTTTAATCAAAATGGAATTTGATTTGAATAGGAATTTATATTTAGTAGATACTGTACACTAATTCCACGGAGAAAATTGCAACTGTAAATAAGTCGAAAGTTAGTTTCAATCGTCTTATGCCCGGTTTGAGACAAGAACAGCTTAGAAGAGAAACCCAATCGAACGCAAAAGTATCAAAAAGGCGATCTGCTATATTAAATTTCATATATTTATTGAAAAGCTGTTCGAAACATCTAGAAAATACCATTAATGGCATTATTGTGTTTTTATATTTATTCTAACTTATACCTCTTTCCAACACTTCTTGCCATCGCGCAATCGAACAGACCTCTACCTAAAACGAAAGCTCTTCTGGAGTATCAATCGAACAGGCTATTATATAGTGTTAAAATGACCAATGAAAATTCTGCCTTTTCATTTCTTTACTGTTAATTTTAGCGGAAGTCAAGGTGAAATCAGACGGCCTTCGGCCGAAAAAGATAAATGAATAAACATGCATATATGTACCATATATTGTATTTGTTGTGTGCATTTGAAAATATTCATTACCACGGGACAGGAACACACGGAAGATGGAGTTCTTATGATATCTTGTCAGGAGTTCCTCTGATAACTGTCACGGAGTTCGTCGGAAAACATTTGTATAAACTGTAGAAGAACTCATCAAAAATGGCAATTTTCATTTTTAAAAGAGAATTTGAGATGCTAAATTAATTTTTGGTGATTAAGGTTGCCTTACATATAGTATAAGGCGTCAGAAAAAAACTTTATAGTCCCTTTTTCGTCGCCAGTTGTTTAAAATCTTATAGTTTTGAGTAAAATTTCCAATTTATTTGCTCATTTGTACATATTGACCTGTTCATTTGTGCATACTTACTTAATTATAATGGAAAGTTGCAAATACGAAGGCCCTGCTAACAAATCTATGCCCGATTTTTCAGATGTCCTAGAGTTCTTTTGATAACGTTGAATATGTTCAAGATCGAGTTCTTCTGTTACTTTTTGTTACTGCCAGTGTGTTTCATACGCAAAGTAGGGTAATTCAAAACAGCTTAGGGGCGTCCGTGGCCGAGTGGTTAAGGTCGTTGACTTCAAACCACTTGTCCCTCACCGCTGTGGGTTCGAATCCCGACAGGGACATAGGATTCTTTCTTGTGAGGAAGCTATCCGGCTAGCTAACGGAATGTCGGTGGTTCTACTCAGGTACCCGTTCATGCCTGAAATAATGCACGGAAGGGCACCTGAGGTCTTCCTCCACCAGTAAAGCTGGAACGTCGCCATATGACCTATACTTTGTCGGTGTGACGTCAATCAAAACAGCTTATGTTACGTTGTTTGACAATTGTACATACGTCATTTTTCTGTTATATATATATTTTTTAAATTTTAAAGTGCTCTGACATTTTTAGTCAATGTTAACATTTTAGTGTTTCTTACTGTCGCTCAAAAGACAGGCAAATATAAATTTACACACATTCTCTAGTAAAGGGCGCATGTAGAGTGTTTTTCGGACATAAGTTGGTCAATTAAGACGAGTTTTGTTGTTCCTGTGAGTACTTATTGTAGCAGCTTCATGTTGGATTTGTTCAAGTTCCTTTGTCTATTTTGGTACAATTGTCAAATAAGACATCACCATATTCGAGTATAGTCTGCTTAAGGAAAAGTAGATGATCTCTAGTGAC